ATGGAGTTATATCAACTAGAAATGTAGTTCAGTAAAATGTATCATTGAAACAACAGTAAGAATGGATAGATCTTTGAAAGAGAGGAGGTATGTTTTAAAGGACGTTTGTACTGAAATTCAGTGGTCTTCCATGAAATTTTCATCTGTATAAGAATACTTACACTCTGTTCCCCTGCCTATTTTTGCACAGTAGTTATATATGTGTGTGCAAGCATGCACATGTGTACACACACACAAATATATATATAAAAATAGCTATATCTGTAATTATGCATGTAAAACAGGTTTGCTGTGCAAGTGGAGTTTGGTATATTGTGTGTGCGTGCACACAACTAAACATAATTAAGTATATGATTGAGACAGATATACATGTGGGGCAGGAGGGTACTGGGGAGAAAGGGAAGGAAAGGTGCAAAGTATTTCAGGCACAGGAAAGGCTGCCCAGTATAAAAAATTTAAGAACTGCTGGTATTGATAATGGCAGACTGAATGAGTCAAATGCATTATGAGTAGTTTTCCCATTCCATACTTAGAGAGATTATGCCTATTTTTCTTAAATATCTAACATATGACAACCTCGTAAAGCCAGTTTAATAACGAAGTGCTCTAGTGACTCTTAAGTATTCCCACATTTGCAAGATCTGAGCTTCAGGAAGGCAGCGTTTTGATGGATGAAGTGAAACATTTTTTTCAATATATTTCAGGTAATCAATTCTCCACTAAAAAAAGAAACATAACTCTTTAGCAGTTGGCAGCGGTTACATAAATAAATGCAACAATTTATGGAAATACGGTGGCATCTGCAATGATGAAAGTTAGACGGGAGAATAACCAGAGATATTGCTTCCAATGACATGGTGTAAAAGGAAGCTTACCAGACTGCAACAGGAAATTGTTCATCAAAATGAATTTACAATGATTTTCACATGATTAAAATTACCTGATGAAACTTACATTCAACAAATTAGGAAGTACTTAATGAGTGTTGTATTCCACCGAGAATTATTATCAATTAACATATGAAAAGATGAAACATGAAATTAATCTTAAAGATGTGGATGGAGGCAAATGAGACTGCCCTCATATCAGAGTTCTCATCTCTGGGTGTCTTCATCAAATGTCTGACCTTGTTTGTGTTGGCAGCTTTGGCTAAGATATTTTGAATTTCAAGAATTAGACAGAAATGGCATTTGGACAACTTAAGACTGACAGAAAGCTCATTAAAATGGATGGCAGTTTGCCTATCAATTTCAATGAGCTCTAAACCATGACCTCTGAAAAAGAATGCTCGGTTCAATCTCTTCTGAAAAATCTGGCAGATCTGGCAGATCCCTTTTGGGTTTTTTTCTGTACACACATACAAGTTTGATTCTGCTCCAGTTGAATTCAGTTACTCTGTTGAATTCAGCATTACTCTTAAGGGCTAAAAGGTTAAGCATAAGCTTATGTGCATCTGCGGATTAGGGATGCAATAATTTTGTTCAATATAAAAACCCATGTTTTAAGGTGAAAGGGGAACTATATCTCATCTGAGTGAGACACATAATGGGAGGAATCATTATTGCACATCAATCAGGAGGAGTGCTGCATGCCACCAACCTCACTTGGGATAGAATTTTGTTTTCTCTTTCATCAGGTAAGTGACCAAATGCAAGAGAAGACAAGTTATGTCTATTTTTTCCACAAAGTTACTTCTGAGGAGAAAAAAAAACTCAAAACATTACTCATACGTGATAATTCTTTAGTGTCAGAAAAAGTCTACTTCATCCAGAAATTGTTGACCTACATTTTACTAGAAAAGTCAGATTTGATACTGAAATAAGTCTCTCCTAACCCAAATAAAAATGCCATTCTTCATTCCATAAACATCTCTCTTTATGGATTGATCCAAAGACCATAAAATCAATGGAAAGCCTCAACCTTCAGTGCCAGATAGTGTCATTATGACTTGCAGGTCCACTGTTTTTCCAAAAGAGAGAACGAAGTTTCAGTACTCGTTGCTTGGTTACAGCCCCTCCAACTGTCTTGGAAGCCCTGAGTTTATAACACCTTAGGAAACCAGACATATATAGTTTTCACTTCAATTATTTATGCAGCTTGTTGTTGATTCCTTTTTGTCTGGTAACGCTGATGAAATGTTTCACTAACTCTGTTCTTCTTCCGTCCAAGGCTTTATTCCATTGTACTTGGCTTTTCCCTGTGAATGCTCTCCAACTCCTACCAGTGGGAGTCAAATAGTTTACTGGAATCCTGAATGGGCAGGACAAAAAGAAATTTGTTGCCTAGGTAACTCAGCAAAATAACCAGTTTATGTAAGTGTGCCTGCTTATCTGCTGAAGCACAGATGAGCATGTATGCCTTTAATATTGTGTTCTTTTTCTAGTGCTTCCTATGAGTATCCATGCAGATTATACTAATGAAATATTCAGAGAAATTCTCTCTGTATAACTGATTCATCCAACAGGAATGCCATGGATTCCTGGATACAGGCAAACCAGGTAAGATCAATGTAAAAATTAACTTTCTGCTGTCACTATAATGTCGTTAAGTTTTTAGATCTGATTTTACTGGTGGCATCAACCTAATGGTTTGATATTGCCAGTAAGTATCAAGTTAACACTGAGTAAAGTAGGAATTTTACTTTTCTTAATAAAGAACACGAAATTACATCGTCAAACTGGTTTTTACAGAGCTGCTTTATCCCTGAATCAGAAAAATGTTCTCATTGAGAGTTGTCATTTAAGTATTCTTTAAAGATGATTAACGTAATGTCAGATCAGAAAAACTCAGCCAATTCAATGCATAGACTTTAAAGCCAGATTGTTTATCTAGTCAGGACTTATCAGAGTCAGTCTCTGTGCATCCTGTGTAAATGCTGACTCCATTCATATTAACAGAATCTTTGCTGTTGACTGCCACAGCACCAGCATTTCATGGTCTGAGCATTTCAGTTATTTGTGTATAAAAGAGGGAGGGATAATATTATTCCCTTTCTCCTACTCTTTGTCTGTCTGCTCTGTTCAATTAGACTACAAACTCTCTGGAGCAAACTCTACTTTCCTGGTGCCCAGAACAATAGGGCTTCTTGTGGCCTATAACATTCATAATAATTTGATTTGTTTCCTCCGTTAATCAGATCTCAGGGCGAGATGTATTCTGCCCAGTTCATACATATTTCAGGAGGCCACCAGCTGTATCTGTAGGACACACAGGAAAGCATCCGATCAGTCGAAATGTAGATGGGAGAGACTTGGTGATGGAGGCTGATGCCCACCCTGTATTTGCCCAGCTCAACCATTTCAAGGACAGAATTACTGGTCAAAACGTGGATGAAGTGGGAAAGACTATTTGTTTCTTGCAGGGATGGGACATGCTGCTAAATTTCTTAGCAGAATTTTTATGGGCAGGTTGTAAAGACCTGAAAACCAGGGTTTTTAATGGAAAGACCAACACCATCTTAAATATTTCATTTCACTGAAATAGCAGATTGATAATTTTTCACATGCTTTGGGAGGAATGCATTTGCCATAGAAGATCTGAAGCCCAATAGGCCTTGATGTGGACAAATACATTTCATTTTATACAAAGACAAAAAATGGTAAATAAAAAGGCCCCAAATTAAAGTCCCTTTTAATTTTGAAACACATCTTTTTGGGTTTTTTTTTCAATAGGCAGAGAAAAGGTATGTTGAAGTGACCTGATGAAACTCTTAATAGTCTGTCCTCTACTCACCCTGTAATAAGCTCAGTTCGTACCACCTGAAGTTTTAGTGAAACCGTAACAATTACATTGTTAAGCTTCAGGTAACGGTCTGACAATTCAGCACTTGTAACCACAGAATTCCTTTGCATAGGAGCTGAAATTTTCTGATAAACGCTGTGCTCCTGTACTTTACTGGCACAGTGAAGTTTGGCAGTGGGATTTCTAAGATAACGTTTCGGAGACTTCAGTCACTGCTGGGGAAAGAACATGCCTTTCTATACAGAAGAATTTTGTAACGATCAGCCTTTTTAACGACCAAGAAGAAGAGAAAAGAGAAATCTGAAGGAAAGGGGAGATAGGGAGTAATTTTTCTGTGAAGACATTGGAAGGTAGGAAGACTGAACCTCAGAGCTTTGTGACTGTATGGTACTTCCAGTTGAATATCCCTGGGCAGAGGGGTTTACCATGTACTTTTTTCCGCATTGATCTTGATCTATTTATCCCTTCTTCTTTCAGTATGGAGCCCGGGAGCTCAAGTGAAGAAGGAACAGCACCTGTAATGTGGGAGATGCAGATCGATAGGGCATGATTGACTGCTCTATTATAACCTCACACAGCACAGAGCTGAAACTTGGTTCCCATAACTACTGTTCGAGCTTAAAAGCCATCTGTAAACTTCAGCAGGGACTAGGCAATGCCTGCAACAATATTGGGCTGCTGCAATTCCATCAGTGGCACGCTGCCAGCTTCTGCACTTTGTCTGAGTGAACCAAGCAAACTTCATATCAAAGACATTTTAAAGTGAATATCTTCACTAGACTTATTCTCAGAACCTGTAGCTTTAATGTTTTAAGAAAAACACAATGTAAAAATAGACACAAAACTGACCTGTGGGTTCCCACCAAGAGAAGAGTCTCTTGTGTTCATTCTCAGATGCAAACTCGAAGAAGGAAGCCTGGAAAATTTTTTATAGAATGCCTGAGCATGTTCAAATGAGTCAAGGACATTCGACCTAGTGAAGAGATGCTCACGAAGAAATTTCATTAACCTAACATAAAATATAAGACTTTTAAAGTATCTATTAAGTTCTTGGATAAATTGATAAGGCATTTAACAGCCATTTAACGGAGCAAGGCATCTTTTAGGTAAAGAAAAGAGAAACTTCATGAGGGCAAAATTGTGAAAGCAATTCAGCAAAGTGAAGTTGCTGGAGTGAGCACACCAGAGATTGGTCTGGAGGATCACATATCTTGCTACAGGTATCGCCAACCTATCTTTAGCCACCTTCTGGAAAGACGGTTCATCGATACCAGGTAGATCAGCACAGGAATTTGTTTGATGTGCTTAAGAGATTGGTAACAATACCTCCTAACGTGACTGCGTTGCGAGGTGACAGTGTTTCCTTGGAGACGGTGAATCCATACAGCCCCAGCCAGGATCCTGGCTGGTTACCTCTCCTCAGAGGATGTTCAACTACCTCTCTATGCAGGGGCAAAGAGATGGGAAGATAAGCTTTGACTGTAGACAAATAGCCTTATGCAAGATGTGAGGATTTTATGCAACAGCAAGACATGTCCGAAAGGTAGGAGGGTGAAAGAAGAGACGTAACTGTAGTCATTGCACAGCTGGCTTGACATGCTTTGACAACAAAGATAGTGTTACAGGATTGAGTGTCTTTTTAAAATGTACCAACCAGTATTGCTGATGGAGATTGTTGTGCTGTAAAAACAGGAAGAAAAATGGGGTTTTTTTTTCTTGCTGTCATTGGCTGATTACCGAAAAACAAAAGGTGTCTCACCAAAAAATGTATAATTTCTTGTAAGAATGTGTGAAAGGTACATTGATTAAGATGTGGAATTCATATCGATGCAAGTTAGATCCATGAAGAGCTGCATGGAATGTTAGTTGATATACAAGGAATGTATAATTATGACGATAAGACCTAATTATGTTAATTACGTCTTTTGGGGAGCAATTTTATGATGCATAAAGCAAGATAATTGATGATACAGCTCACAGCAAGGATGCATTGTAGCTATAACTTACAGGTGTGTTTGTTACTAAATTATGCTCAAAAGAACTGCTTTGAAATGTTGCATAATGTCTCATAAAACTCATATAAAAATAATTGAAAGGTAATAGAGCATGGAAACACTATGTCCAAGTCCTATACTATTCTAAATTCAGAGAGTTCTCATAATAAATGTTTGCATACAAGCAACAAGTGCTACAGAGCAGTAAATTGTGTGCATTTTGAACAAAGCACAAGTTTGCTGTCTTTTAAATACCTGTACAAAATGCGATTGTAAGTTAACCCTGCAGTTCGTTTCTGTTAATCAGCTTTGGCATGTGCAATTGGCTGAGACAACATAAATAACTGGGTGTTTGTATCACACAAGCAAACAGCTGTTTGTGCAAGTGGTTTGGACAGATCCATAACCGGCTCTTTTGGAGCCTACGCAAAATCAGCAGCTCTGACCTAGGTATAAGAACTCTTCACTTTAGGAGGGTTTATGGCCCTTTATTTAGTTTATTTGGGCTGGTTTTGCTTTTTCTTTTTCTTAAAGATGAGCTTAAAATACACTAGATTTGGTTCCTTTAGAAAGGTCCGTGTTTTTCACTTCCATAGAAGCAGGTCTGGAAGAGCTTGGAGCACTTTGTTGTTAAATAGTGACCAGACTTCCAGTTGAGGTCAAGCACACAGCAGCATGGGCCCTTTCCATCCTATACGTTCCATGATTTGCTGGGATGTGAAGCTGTAGCGAGCACCAGAGGAATTCTGACTCTGAATATGTGCAGTAGTACTATAAATAGCCCTTCCAAAATTTTTTATTGCGGGCATTGATCTATGGGGAAAGAAGCCATGGTTCAATGAAAGCTCAGCCTGCGCAAGGCTGCTGATTCATGTGAAGTAGCTGGGGATAAGACTACTGGAAGGCAGACCAGACCCCAGAACTGCTCAAAATGCTGGGAAAAGAACCTTTCAAATCCCAATTGCAAGAGTTTCCCTATTTATTCCTTCTTTATCTTTACTCCTCTTCCACTGAGTTTTCCTCTCTCCATGAGGCAAAGCTGAACCTGTGCAGTAGAGTCTAAAACGTTTGTTTATCAGAGCTGCAGGTTATATCAGGAGAAAGGGGCATTTTGACTGACAGTCTTTTCTTAACAGCTAAATATCAAAAATAATACACGGGAGGAATGTTTTTCACTCAGAATATCTTTCACTGGTGCTGTTGCAGAAGTAGCTCAGCTAGAGCTCTTCAAAGTATTTCCTGGGCTTTTAATATATTCCACCCTTAAAGTCAGCTGGACTCAAATGTACTTGCACTGCAGTTGGAAAATTTGCAGCATTTTGTTGCCTATGAAGACGTTGCCAAGATGTCAGTGGGAGGAGAAGCAGACTCATTTCATGGACACACAACTGACACTGACATCTTGATAACGTGTGACTTTTAACAGTAAACTCCACGGGAGAGCATGATTTTCCAAGATATGGCCTGATATCTCATAAATCATGTTTTGAAAAATGCAGTAGCTGTTCTGTTCTCATTCCTTCCAGTTTACAAAATATTTCAGGCACTTAATTCCCCACTGGGACTTCCACTGAGGAAAAAACATGAAATATATTGGGTTAGTCATGGGTACTTCCACTTATCCCCACAGTTTGTCATACTGCATATTCAGCTCATATGCAAAACTCTATAGATTTCAAGGTGCTAGCAAAGAATTGCTTTGTACAAATATTTTTTTTTGTTGTTTTATTATTTAGGTGAAATGGCTATTTTAGGTATTTCAATGATGCTACATGGAAGGGAATGATTCCCTGAGCTTTTTTGAAGTGATCAGAAGTCCTCCTATTTCAAAGAACCCTTTAGGCACTTAAGGTGGGATCCTTCTCATCAAACTTCAGATGCCTGGAAGTTGGGTCCACTCTCAGGAAAGCCTGTGGTCTCCTCATGTAGATGATGTGTGGGCTGTGATTCACTCCAGCCCAAATTAACAGGTATCGAGGATGGGCTGAGGGAGGGGGTTTCTGGACATACCCACTTGTCTCCAGTGACTGTAGAGGGAGCCAAGAACATTTTCTAAGCCTGGCCACTCTCAGGAAAGCCTGTGGGCTCCTCATGTAGATGATGTGTGGGCTGTGATTCACTCCAGCCCAAATTAACAGGTATCGAGGATGGGCTGAGGGAGGGGGTTTCTGGACATACCCACTTGTCTCCAGTGACTGTAGAGGGAGCCAAGAACATTTTCTAAGCCTGGCTTTGCAGGCTGGAAGCTGCAGCTAAGTGGGAGAAATCATACTTTAACCAGACAGAGGGTTTAGATGTTGAATATCAACTCGCATATTTTGGATTTGATATTGGTGGCAAAGGTATAGCCATGATATGAACAACTAGACTGAGCACCAGCCTCAGAAATTAGAATTTGGTCACAAGATCTTCCACCCTTACAATTTTAAGTTTTGCTTCTAATCTCATTTATAGGATTCTTAAAATATGATCAACTATCTCTGCTTAGAGGATGTCATAGATACCCTCCCTGCACCCTCCCTTCCCCAAGAAGAGAGAGAACCGAGGAATGCTATTGCCACAGAGGGTTTCCATTAGTGAAATTAATTCCTCTCTCATACGAATTTAGGTCTATGATTTATGATAAGCACCAATTTCTCACTGCAGGCAAAGTGAGAGGAAATGACTCAGCCTGGACAGACATCATGAATCTAATTTTTTTCCCCCTAATGCCTGACATAATCTAGTGTGTGGCTCCCAGAGGTGTCACTGGAGATTCATATCCAGCCGAAGGGCCTCACAATCGAGGCAGAAAATTTTATTACTTTCATGTATTGTGTGATCTGTAATTGTTTGGAATTGCATCCCGCCTCATTCATTGCCATTTCTTTTGCATCAATTTTGCAGCAAAATAGTAAGGAAAACAAAGCAAGGGAGAGAAAAGCATTGTCGCACTTGCTCCTTCAGAAAAATCTTCTGTGACATAATGTTAGGGTCCAGCTGGTGCTTATTAAACTCAGGCAGTTTTGAGATGAAAAATGCTTCCTTCTGTCGCTCTTTCCAATAGAAATCTCACTCCCTACCTGATTGGAGAAGTCTTATTTATCCCATATTGATTCTGGAAGTTTATGTTTTATTTTCTATCACTGCTATACAATTTTGTGAGCGGGCTTCTGCCAAAAGATCAGAAGATAGCATGTTAAATGGGTCAGCTGAAATGTTTTATCCCACATTTCAAGGGACTAGGAGCATATATTCATGTCTCCACAGAGGAGGCAGTATCTAGCTGAGAGGAAGGTAGGTTTTCAAATGCCTTGCACTCATTTGAATACATCCTAACAAATTGCTTCCAAAACTGAGAAGAATAATACATCTTTTTCTTAAGTATAAAATATTTTCTATTTCTTTCTCTGTTCTCATTTAACATACAAGAAAGCAGAAGTAAACAAACACCAAGAAAGGGCTAAGCAAGAGTTTCCAGGACCTTTTTTTTTTTTTCTCCTTTTCCTTTTTTTTTGTTTTATATTGACCAAATGTAAATCTTCTTTTCACAAGGCTGCCATGTGTGTGTATGCCTGCTGGTCTGTAGCAGCACACAAACATGAAAACAGTGATGACATCCAAAAATGCCCAAGTAAATAGCTGTTATTTTCAGAAATGATGAGCTTGCTCAGCTTTCTTTAAGTCACTTATGGTTTCTTGTGGCTGGTTTGATCCCGATAAAAGAAAAGCATAAAGCATGAAGGGAGGAGTAGTTCCGTATGTCAGTACCATTCTGTGCAGTTTTCATGCAATAGCCAGGAAAGATGTAATGCTGGGCTTTGATGATTTTTAAAAACATCAAAACAATCCTAGTAAGGTCAACAGAACACGTCTCTTCATGATTATTTGCCAATAATCTGTAATCATAAGTTTTAACTGATATTCTATTTAGCTTGTCTTTTGCACTCAATATGAAACTATCATTACTATCCTCAATAGACCATTTCTAAGCTGCATTTTTACTCTCCATTTCTGCTCCTGACTGTAATTGTTTTAATGATGCTTACTGACATCTGATACTTTCCGGCAAGCTCTCACCAAGCTTGTACAGCAAAAGTCAAATTATAGTGTTGTATGCACACACTTACTAAGTTAAAATTATGTTTTTGAAGTATTCCATGGTAAATTTCTAAATTGCAGCTGCTAGTCTGCAAATTATTCAATCTCTCTGAAGCACAATTGGAGAAATTGCACCATTTGGGGTATATAAAATGCACTTCTGAAGGCATTCTTAGGCAGTGAACTACAAAGCACAGAAGCACATGACTTCAAGACTTTATTGAACAAAGTTTGACTCTTCTTTGGAGCCTTGATATTCTACTAAAAGATATTCAAGGCATTAAAATAACTACGCAGTTGAGGTATCTTTTCATACAATGTTGATCCATAAGCAGGACTTCACAGGATAGAGACTCTTTATCAGGGAGTGGAGCGATAAGATGAGGGGTAATGGTTTTAACCTGAAAGAGGGGAGATTTAGATTAGATATTAGGAAGAAATTCTTGACTGTGAGGATGGTGAGATGCTGGAACAGGTTCCCCAGAGAAGCTGTGGCTGCCCCATCCCTGGAGGTGTTCAAGGCCAGGCTGGATGGGGCTTTGAGCAACCTGGTCTGGTGGGAGGTGTCCCTGCCCAGGGCAGGGGGTTGGAACTTAAAGATCTTTAAAGTTCCTTCCAACTCGAACCATTGTATGATTCTATGATAGCAGAGGACGTATCATGCTATTGAACAAGTTCTGGTCTTCATTATCTTCAAGACTGAGTAAGTCTTACCCCTCACTACTCTGTATTTTCTGCCTTATAAAATAGTTTGCATTTCTCCGAAGAGAACTCATTACCTGTTTAACATCTCCTCTCTAGTTCCTCAGGTCTGACTACAAGCAATCAAAAGTTCCATAAAACCTACTCATCCTGCTGCTCCATCCTAAGTGATACACACACTATTCCACCGGTTTTATTACAAAACAGAGGATTCATCAGGCAGAACTGTGATTTTGGGCAACTTTCTCCTGTAAGTATTTGGCTTGCCGGTCTGATTACAAGTTTATAGAAGAGAGACTTGGACAAAGAATAACTAAGGCTGAAATCTCTTCCCCAGCTTTGAAGCTGATTTTGGTTTGCCTCCTTTTATCTTCCAAAGCTAGATCAGATTATAAATACGATTATATGATATGGTGTCAGCAGCAGCAAGGGATTTGACTCAGTGGCCCAGGAAGCCTTTGAGCACTATGCAGAGAACTGGATCCAATGGGCAAGTATCTAATAAATCATGAAGAGTCTGTGTACATTTGCGATAAAGTGTCATAAGCAGGAATGCTATGAAAGGTAACAATACAGATATTTGGCAAGAATATTTTTCTCCAGTATTTCGGTTAATTCGTAACGTATATGGTGAATCTCCACAGCATTTACCAGCTTGTGGATGTGTGCATAGCTCAGCTGTGACTGGAGGAGATCAGTCAGAGGTGTGTGCTCCATCTCTCCTCTCCCCTCAACTCCACCATCATGGTTTCCACTGAAAGAAACGCTGCAAGTTTGAGCAAACTTGCTCCAAGAGGTTCCCCCACTGCAGGCAATTGTGATGCTGTGTCCATTGGGCATGGCACAATCACACACTGCAGGAAGAGCTAGAGATCCTGTTCCTTCCTCTGTCCTAGGAGTCTGATGCCTGCGAAACTGTACAATGTGTTTTAGTGGAAAAGCAAAATGGGCAGAAACATCATGATCTGGACTGCAGTGGCAGGTTTTCTGTACCTAGATTTAGTTCAGGATATATTCAGGATATATTGTACATAAGCTTGTCCAGAACTGTCTTTACATGCACACGCATTCACAAATGCAGACCATCATATCCTCACTTCCATACATCATTTTGCTATTCACCGGATGGTATTAAGGCAGAAGACATTGTAAACATGGATGAATATTATTTCTACTGTAATCAGGCCGGAAATATGAGAAAAGACAGTGCCAGAAACTGAAAAATCTTAACTGATTCTTTTATATCTTTATTTTGCTTTTTCTAAGCTTCCTTCTGATCCCTTCAAGTATCTCAGCTGGCAGGACATAGAGGAACATGATGTTCGAGGGAATCAGCTTCATTGTCCCCGCGTGAGAGATGGTAAAGATCCAAAAGACTTATTAACGTTTAAGCCTTAACTCCATTTACTCAAAGCGTATGTCCTTAAATATTATGAGCTTAAATCATGGAATTTGCCATTGTTTTGAAAAGGGGCAGGATTTCATCCCATTTTGTACATTTTTCTTTTTTTTTTTAATAACTGGGGAAATACTCTTCATAATTTTTAAAATGGGAAACAAAAGCCAGAACTGTAATTTGAAAAATTTTAGTATAAATGCGGTGTTGGTTACTTCTCTCAAAAGTTCATTAACATTTGAATATTGTTCAGAATGCAATAGCCATATGCCAAACAAGAAGACAAGAGTGAAATTCAGTTCTGCAAATGGTGTATTTTATTTTAAGACTGCATTGGCCTAATTACAATCTATAGACACCCTCAAGAACGGACAATGAAAGGTGGATTTTAAAATCCAGTGTTTGCATGTTTGGGTTTAAACAGTGAAAAAATTCCACACTATCCTTGCTTTAGGTAGGAATTTGAAGATGTCCATAGCATTTTGGTAGACTTAATATGAATGAGCTTTTGAGTATGGCTATTTATCCCAGTTGCAGCTGTTGTCAGTGGACTGGAAGTTACAAACATATCCTTTTCTCAGGATAATTAAAGGATAAATACATAACCATTATATAAACTCAAAGCATTTGAAAAACTATGTAGAAACAGTATTTTAGAATTCAGATGCTTATGCTCAACCATTTAGAAAAACCTTTTATTCTTAGCTTAGAAGAAATGTCACTTGGTAACCAGGTACCAAATCATCATGCCCTTAGATTGCTTGCTGAATTATGGGCCTAGAAATGGTAGAAAAATCTTCACATTAATTTACTTCTTCAAAGCCTGGAAACCTACGCACCTATAATATTATATATATTTCTTCATTTCAGATATCTTCCCAGCTGTATATATAATCTTTCAGCAAGTAACTAAGTGCCAGTTCCATATCACATCCACTATTGTAAATCTTTTCTTTTTTTTTGAGCAGGGCCTTCAGAAGAAGAGCTATTTTTCAGAGGAGAAGAACATTATTTGAAAAAAAGAAAACAAGTAACTGACACAGAGAAGTGGCAAAAGAAACAGCAAGAGAACTGGGAAAACTGTGCTGTAAAACTTTCTCATTAATTCTTTGTACTGTAGTAGAAAATCAGACAAATAATAAGGTGTGAGCTGCTCCTTGCAGTTAGCAGTTTTAAAGTTCAGGTTGGCACCATGACATTGGAAACCAGAAGAATCACTGGAATATATTGTAATTTGGATTCTGACCCAGTGCAAAGAGTAAACTCCTGTGTTGTGACAGGGCTTCATTTGTGCTTGGGCATGTAAGAACTAGTGATGTTTCTTACCTGCTTAGTGCCTAGTGGTAAATGAATGGTTAGAGAATGGAGTAGATTAATTTCAGCTCTCAAATTCACCTTTTAACTCGTTCTGACATTGAAAGATTTAAAGATACAGTTAATAGAAAACAAGGGGGGGGGAAAAAGTGACAGATCTTTTTTTTCTTTCCTTCCCAGGAGTTGAACCTTTCATTTCAAGACCTGGGTGATCTTTACCAGGTGGAAAACTTCAAAAGGGTTCTCCGAAGATTAATTCGGGTGGAAAAACTTTGGTTGGTGGACAATTCTTTGACAGACCTAAGTGCCATAAGGTTGCCAAGGTAGACAAAATGTCCTGTTTCTATTCTAATGCAATATCACTGAAATCAAAACTTTTATTTACTTCAGTAATAGCTGGAGCAGACTCTTGAGAACTGCCAAAATGTGGTATTTTGGGGGGTATTATAGTGACAATCCATCAGTATATTGCTGAGTTCATATCCCGAGTTGAAAATTCTCGGTTAGGAGGTCAGGTGATGTCTCCTTTATTCCTGGTGGATAATTCATGAGTCTTATCAAGTTCAGTGATATTTTTGTGAAAAGGGACAGTTGTTGAAGACTGAAGGAATGTATATGAAGAGATGGTGGAACATAACACAAGCAGAGAGGCCAGATGTGACCATGACAACTATTTTTTTTACAATCCATCTATTGCTACTATGTTGCCGCATGTCTAGGTGTATGGGAAGTTGTAGCATTGAGAACAACAGTAATGATGTATTTGTGTTCAATATAAAGAAAGCTGAGAGTATAAAGTGCAGGGATCTGATCTTGAAGTCCATGGGTAGGCAAAAATAACACAAATGTAAAACTGGTGTGAAAGCAGGTCTTGAGGAATCAAATTCTTTTGTCTCTCATTAAAATCTCTTAGGTTGTCATGACTCCAACTCCATGAAGAGCCATCCCTGTGTTGGCTTACAGGTATGAAATACTACAGAAGTGATCGGTGATGTCATGTGCTTTATACTTTACAGATGCAGAGAACTAAATGTCAATAAAAATCACTTTACGTCCTTCAAACAGCTGCCAAAGATGCCTCAGATTCAGCACTTATCACTCGCTGAAAATAACATTATGACACTAAGTGGAATATCAGACTTCAGACAGACTCCACTTGAATCCCTTATACTCAAGAGGAATCCTTGTGAATTTCAAGAAAGATACAGACAACTGTAAGTCTTACCCTCCAATAGCCAACAAAAGTTCAACAATGCAAAGAAATGATTGGGAGCGAGTTCAAAAAGAATAGGATCTCAAATACAACAAGCTTCCCCAAGCAATCTTTTTTTTTTTTCCCCTAGTCAACTATCATAAATGCTTCAGGAACATGGGCTGGTGAGCCAGTATCTAATAATAGCCACAAAATATTCAGAAACTTCCTAGGAGGCTTTCTAATCACATGACTGGCAGTTCTTGAACTGAACTAAGTCCATGGATCAAGTTCAGAGACAGTGAGTAGGGCAGATAAATTAGATTCCCTTTTATTAATAGAAACTACCTATTACTCAAACTCCCTTCAGTCTCATTGCATCCCTCGTGTATTCTCGAAGGAGTCTAAATTGCATTACATCTCAGAGATGGAATCAGAGGGATGTGTTGAAAGATGGGAGCTGAGGCAAGAGAAAACTAAGTTACCATCATTTGATTTTTGTGGATTCTTTCCTCTCTGGCAGCTCTGTGGAAGCTGCCCTGCCTTGAACACCCCTCTGAGTGGAGGGATGTGTTGTGGGCAGTGAAACCTGAACATTTTTTATTAGCTCTTTATCAGATACATCCTGCAACAAATGACAAATGAAGATTTCCAACAATACAAAGGTATTTTTGATATGTTTGAAGCCACTGTTTGTTTTTTATCAATGTCTATTTTGTTCTCAACATTTCCCAAGATTATTTTCCTCAATTTCTATTTTTCTTTTGTCTCCCTTTAAGTGTATTCTCCAGTTTGCCAAATCTGAAAATGCTGGATGGTATCCCCAAACTGCCAGAGGACTGTTCGCCCCCAGATATCAGGTTTTTTTACAAAATGTGTACTATACTCTAGCACTGTATTTTTGTAGGATCACAGCTGTGCTAGAATCACCTCACTTAGAAGATGTAATAAATCCTATATATGGAAGTTATTATTTTTTTCTGATCAAAGAGATATTGAAGCAGAAATATAATTTTTTGGAACACATTTGTGATACTACGGACTTCAAGTATGGGTAAATGACATGTAAATAAGACAAAATGTGTATACTGAGTGTCATGAGTTTGGTGTATTAAAAATATTGGGTGTCTGTCTTGTCTAGGAACTCTGTGTAGACAACTTGCAATTATTGACTCCCACTGCATTTATTTAAAATATGCCCAAGTTTGGATCACCTGTCCATTGTGGGAAATGGTACAGGGATTAATATCCTGGCTGTGAAGAAAAGAAAAAAAAAACAAAAAAAACCACAACTGAATAAAAGAACAGGCTATGCAGTTTCCTTATTTATGTCCCACCAATGTACTAGTGCTATTTAATGCACTTTGTAGATGGGAAAGGCAGAGCCACTCCAATCATTTTGACCCTTAGAAATAAAAAAAAGTAATGAAAACCCTCTTTGCTTGGGAGTTTGGTATGGCTAGAGAGCACTGGGGAGGTAAATAATGGAAAAGGAAAGGACTCTTTTGACTCATTGCTGGCATTGTTTAGGAATGGCTTGTTGCTTAATAGAGGTTCCTCAAACCAAAGCCACAATGAGGGAAAAGAGCTGTGGAAGCTGAAAAGGGATTTGTAAGGGCTCCCCAGGATATCTGAATGCAATTATCTTTGAGAGGTATCTGTCCTTGTCTTTGATTCATTTGCTGTTCAATTTTAGGTGGTTTTTTTTCCAGGCAGCTCATGCTGGCATACAAATAGCTGTGCCACTAATGGTTCAGGAAAAGAATGGCAGAGCAATGGAAAATGAAGACAATTAGCAGAATTGCCTAATTCCAGAGACACCCAATAAATTCTCTGCTGTGTATTGGCTGCAGGCAGGGTATGGTACATGGGGAGGAGTAATGACTTCTCAGCCCTGTAGAGCTCCGCAGTGCAATGACTTATCTGCAGAAAGGTCGCAGCAGCTCCCTATAATGTCTGTATTGTACCAGGGCAAGAGAAATAACCAGCTTGAAAAGTTTCCAGGCTCTCCCTTAGGACCGTCCTTACCTCTCCCACAGCCCAGCAGGCAAAACACTCGAGGAAAATACTGCAAGAACTAGATCACGAGATTTGGAATGTATAACAGAATCACAGAATCTTCTAGGTTGGAAGGGACCTTAAAGATCATCTTGTCCAACCGTCAACCTAACTGACAAAAATAGTCACCCACACAACAAACAAGGAGCATCATCACTAAACCATCCCTCCCAGCACTACATCAACCCGTCTTTTGAACACCTCCAGGGATGGTGCCTCAACCACCTCCCTGGGCAGCCCATTCCAATGTCTGATAACCCTTTCAGTGAAAAAATTGTTCCTAATATCCAGCCTGAACCTCCCCTGGCACAACTTGAGGCCATTTCCTCTTGTCCTGTCGCCTGTGACTTGAGAAAAGAGACCGACCCCCATCTCTCTACACCCTCCTTTCAGGTAGTTGTAGAGAGCAATAAGGTCTCCCCTCAGCCTTCTCTTCTCCAGGCTGAATAAAACAGTATCAAGCTCAAAGTGTTTTCGACATCCATGAAAGGAAAAAGACAACAGACCACTGCAAAGAGGTGTCAGGTTGAGGGCTCACACTTGGAAAATATTCTTGTGATTCATAGAAGCAGCTCAGTTCCTTCCCAGCATTTACATGCTTTGATAACTAGATCCAGGCAGTGTAGTCCACCCCAGCAATGGGAACAGACCCTACTAGGACAAACCCCTCCATAAACATGCTGCAGAATCAAGATGGTAAGGTTCAACAATACACAGCAACAAGCTTTTACAGGTTCAGAGGAGACATGATGTGGTTTACGCAGAAACAAGGCAACCAAAGCTTTGAAACATAAAATCAACATAAAAAAAATCCGCTGCTGTGTTTGGGAATGGAAAGGGTGAAAAAAAAAAAAAAGGTGAAATGTATTCTTTTGCTTGAGGATGTATGTGATAAAACACCCATCTCCTCAGAAGCAAGGCAGGGAGCAAGAGCAGAAAGGAAGCAGAGCCTGGAGGACCACCCTTACTGACCCAGCCAGAGAGAGCCAGAGTCAGCGAGCAGCTGAAGGCTGTGTGTCTGGAGACGGGGAAGGGAAGCAGCCTTTTCCCAAGGTAACAGGCACTGGGGAGCATTCAAATCAGCGCTCTTCAAATCACAATGAAAAGCACTCGAGGTCTAGGCTCCCTTCCCAGAATCCGGCATTAGCAAGTGAGACTGAGCTGGGAAATTGCCCCAGTCCCCTGGGGAGACATTTCAGATACAAGCTCATAGTGAAGCTACCACCCACTTCTCGCACATATAATTAGGAGCTGATGGAGTCTCTCCTGGGAACATGCTCAGAGGCTTTGCTCTTTAGACCTGAGTCCTGGGTCACTCACAAGAAAGAGGCACAGACAGGGATTTATTCTTTCCGGACAGGAGGTTGGTTCTACTCTCATAATTTTTCCTTTTAGTATTTTAATGGCCTGGCTTTGGAATCCCGGAGAAATATGAGGTAATATCTGGGGAGCCTTGCTGATTTTATTTAAAGTGCATCCAGGAGCAAGAATGTACTGGTAATGTTTGAGTCACTTTGCTTCAACGAGCTTTAAATGAGATGTTCGCTATCAGCAATGTCACATGGGAAACTGGGGGGAAAAAAGAGCAATTCTGTTCCAGCTGGTTGACTGGACAACAGCCATAAGACCAAGGAAGCACACTGGATACGTTTCAACATTACCAGTCAACTAGAAACCCCAGCAGCAGGAACCTTTTGAAACTGGCCTCAAGTTCATGCCAAACCAAGGAGAAATTAATGTACATTTGGGGTTCTAAATGAGATTATGACTATCTAACTTTCTTTTCCTGCCAGGCTTACACTCAGCTTTCCTCAAGAAAAAAATTGGGCCTGCAGCAAATCACTCTTGAGGTTTATTCTGTCGCTTTTCCACAGTTGTGTTATGGAATGGCCTGATCTGAACCTAATCTATAACTTCAAGAAAATCTGGAAGGAATGGAACAAAAGTAGAGCCTTTATTTTGCTAGAGCTTTGGAGATTTCGTCAGCTGTGATTGCACTCTGAAATCTAAAAAAATAGCTACCACCTGTGAGCTCAGTAGCAAAGTGTCATGAAATCAATTTCCAATTACACACAAAGATTCTTTCAAATTTGACATTTCATGAAAATTTAGCAAAGGGTTCCCAAAGTCTTGCCTAACATCATGGGACAGGTCCAGAGCTGATAGAGCTCAGAACTGGGTTCCCAGGTCTCATTTTAACTGTCTTTTGGGGTTTATGTCTATGTCTCTCAATACAAAAGAAAAAGTGAGGAATATCAAATCAAAAGACAAACTCCTTAAATGAACAGAGAGAAAACAAGATTTTTCATTTAATCCATTTATTATGATCTCAGGAATTCCAGCACAGTGTTTAAAAAACTTGTATTATAGTACATGGGCAATGGAAGCAACCAAAGTTGGAACAGAAAAGAAATCATCAACTACTGATGAGCATTTCAAAGAAGACTGTTTGCTCAAAAACATGTGAACCTTGTAGGACACGAAGCACAAGCCCCCTATGTTCATACTGGTCCAAATTATTTAAATTGCTCAGGAAATAAAGACTTTGAGCCAATAACCTTCTCCAGGACTGGGCATTGCAGCACCAGCAGTAGGTGTGAATACACTGCAGAGGAAAGCAGTGGCTTTCCTTGCAAAAGGAGACCTTGCAAAAATGTCTTCTTTTAGTTCCTTCCACTGAGCTTCAGAGGCTGAGAGAGCATCGGAGGCAAATCAGAGCTGATCAGTTAAGCCTGTAATTCGTCATCACGAATGTTAATGCAAACAGCTGAAGCCCAAATTTATTCATCTACAGCGAGTAAATAACTTGTCAATGATTCCCTAGAGTTCAGCCTGCCTCTGCTGGAGCACAGAACGGTTGTGAGGACTTCACAAGTGACTTCCTGAAGTCCTTGTCAACTCTCAGGTCACAGTGTCTGTAAGAAATTTGCCCGACACGCACTTTGAAATATGCTGTGGGCAAGGATCTGGGGGAGGTGGTGGGTCATGCTCCTGGCTGCATCATCACTGCCCCTGAAACAGCCAGCACAGGGGGCTCTGCTCTCACAGTCTGCTGGTGTCTCGCTGCACAGCAGGCTCTGCTGTGGCTCTCACTGGACCTCCATGGACCAAGTTGCATGTTCCTGTAGCCAGGAAGGGGATTGGGTGTCTTTTTGTGTATTAGTGATGCCAGGACTGCAGTTCTTTCAGTGCTTGCCTATTCCCTCACCCAACACAACTGACTACCAAAGTCCTTCCCACATTCAATTCAACAAATACTCCCAGTGTTTCATCCAACAAAACTCCCAGCAACTTCAGAGCTGCAGAAGCACATCTTTATTCTTCCCTGTGAAAGGAAGGAAAAAAAATCACTCACAAATCAGGGATCAGGTTACCAAAAAGAAACCTATGAGGCTGTTAACCTTTGAGGAGCGGAACACTCTCCCCTTTCCCTGGATCTTTCTAAAGATCTGAGTATATTTGTTTGTTTTACCATTTCCTTCCTGACTGATTAAAATCAAATATCTTTCTGGTCTGTGTAAGGCAACTTTCGATCCCTGCCACTGAGGTTTTGCTGTTCAATAAAGAACCTTCACCAATTTTGATGATTTCCTTGCTATCAGCGCTGAAAGCAAAAATGAATTTAGTGAATGTACTGACTGACGTTCTGGTCTATTTGGATACATGTATGAGACACACGGAGGCACGTTGGCAGGAAGCATGGGGGGAAATAAGCTATTAAGATGTCCCAGAGCATTCCTTTTTCATTTGTAATCTATCATCCAAGATAACATTTGCTTTGGAATTGCCAGGTACCACGCTACATTATGGAATTGAAAGCATTGCAGATAAGGAAAGAAGGCCATTGACAACATATGCTTTGGATAAAAACAGCCATAAAAATAAATGTAATGACCCTAACAGGGACAAGACAAGCGTGGACAGTAACAAATTGGGAATGACCAGAAAGTTCATGAATAGTCAAGCTACAGGAAACGGTGCAGTCAGCCTTGGGGAGTGAAATCCAGGCCAATTTTTTGGTGGTTGTTTTTCATACTGATAATTTTATTTTTACTATGTGTTAACACACTATATTTCCCATTCCTACTCTACATACAGTCTATTTTCTTTCTAATAGATTGCTATAATTACTGTTTACAACCTGAGCACCGAGCCAGTTTAAGGATGCTCCTATAAAGAGGCATGAATGATGAAAGATGTTACTTTGGTGCAATTTTAATCTTCTGTGCAAAAGATACAAAATTCCTTTTTTCTGAACTCAAGGAAAATCAAACAGGAGACTGCATCTGTGCTCAGGGCTCCAAGCCCTCTTTCAGGCAGTACTTAGCTCTCACCTTTTGTTTGAGCTTTACTCTCTTATTTTTATCTTGCTTC